TCTTCTTAAATTTGTCGTCCACATCGAACTTGCTCTTGCCGGAATTTGCTTAAAATCGGCTTTTATATACGTTTCGTCGTCCATCACACAGCAGCCATATTTTGTCAGCATCTTCTCGTAGAGCTTCCGTGCACGAGTTTTAGCCGTCGATTGTTGCCGCTCATCGCGGTTTGGGAAGTTCTGTCCCTTGTATGTATGTAGTCCAGCTCTCTTCTTTGCATTCTGGACGTAGCTCTGCGACATGCCGATCTTTTTAGCCAAATCACGGCTTGAGACGTTGGGATTTGCTTTAATCATCCGCTTCACCTTTCCCTCCGTCTTTTTGTTCTTCGGTCCCGGTTTTCTTCCAGCTCCTTTGCCGTGGTCCAACGTCAACCGCTCCTGGAACCGCTTCAACACTCTGGAGACGGTTGAATGGTGAATGTTCAACATTTTTCCCAACTGCCGGTGCGACAGGTCAGGAAATTCCAGATGTTTGGAAAGAATTTGTTGTCTCAACTCGCGTTGGTTCACCTCCATTTTCGTTGAATCGAAAAACACGACTTCGAGTTTGACAGTATGTACACAATACACATCAATGAGAAAGTATGCAAAATTTGGTTGATTTTTACCCAATGGTAAAAAAGTTATACCCTGTTGAATGTGTCGCAATAATTTCGTGTTCGCCCTTTGAAGTCAAAGAGATGTATTTTAAAATTTTCTGGAACCCCATAGATATGGTACTTTTCTACACGTTACGGTTTGAGTACTCTCAATTTTTTAGGAAGTAGTTTGGAGCTTCAAAAAGTGATATTTCGATGAAAAGTTCCAATGAACTTCTAGGATCCAAGCAGTGTATGGGGTAACCACATGAAAAAAAATAAAATAAAAATAGGACAGTACGCGAGAGGAGTAGGAGGCCTTAGATTGGTCAAAAATATTCTTCTTAACTTATGGATGTTTGTTACGGATTTAGTCCACTGTGCTTCAAATTGAATTTGCCTTTTATTGTTTCATGGATTCATGGCAACCATTAATGGGTACTTCAATTTCTACCATCAGTTCTTGTGCAAATAAGTGGAGAATTTTATTGGTCCTCATTAGTGCAAATTACTGTACTTCAAACTATTCTGCATTGTTTGACGTGTTTTGAAGATCATTCCACTCCATTCTACTGTGGAAAATTGCCAGAATCAGAAATGTGTAATTTGGAACTAAACTTGGAATAAGCAACGCAATTGATTCTTAATTTGCCTGCAATATTACCTATTAACGTGATATTTTATGTCAGTTCACATGAACTTTTTTTTAAGGCCGTGCACGTCATAGTTGCTACTTCATTACTAATTAGAACCAGTGAAATTGCACAGAGAACCACATAGATGGAGCGCTTGAAATAAATTTCCATCTTCAATGCACAAGTTCACTGATTGATTCTATAAGATCAGTAACGACGCCGGCCACGTCCTCACGGTCTTTGGGGAGGGAAAAGATGATTAGTTTAACAATCGTTGTTGACTAGAGACCTATTTTTCCTCTGCATATCCACAATTACCACAGAAAGGATAGTGGGTTGGACTATTTTTAGATCAAGATTTACTGTGGTAAAGTTATGCGATCAATAAAAGCAGCAGACTGTTTTTATTCTAGTGTAACTAATTCCCAGTGAAAAATTGCAAGGCAGGCCCGTGATTGAACTCTCAACCTTCTGCTCAGTAAGCAGAAACGGTAAACACTAAGCTATCAAGCCTATATTATCTATTAACGTGATATTTTATGTAGCTTACATGAAATATCATGTAAAATAACGCCAAATCTAGTGTTAACTATGTGTAACGGGTGTTTAATAAAAATGAGAATGATTTCAGTGCCGTCCAGCGCACTTGTGAGAGCATCGCGACTAAGTTGCGTCGTACGGCTAGCCAGAGCCCCTTCTCCAATATTGATTGACGTTTTCTTGAAGAATAAACATTATGTTTTTAATAAAAAAAAAAAATACTGAACTCGTTGAAAAAATTTTTTTTACTAGCTATAACTGAAAAAAATCTCATTTTTTATTGAACACCCGTTAATCCTACTATTTTCCACGTGTAGCCGTAATTTATCCCGTTAAATTTACCCCCAAAACCCACCCAACTGGCAGTACATCATCATTCCAGTGGGACCATCGATGCATGCACAAACATCGTAATGCATTCTTAATACAAAAAATAAAATAGTATCTGCAACTGCTCCCTTTATAGCAGCTACAGGATCAGCAGTTGCTCTGTAATTCCCTTTCGCAAAGCATTCAAAAAATCCCCTTTGACCGGAAAATAAAACAAATTTTCCATCATAACCCACATATCCTGAACCTCTGGGAGGAAAACATGCTCATCGTTTGAGAAAAATACCTTCCACCAATGATGGTGCAGAGCGAAACAGAGGTGCCAGGAATCTGGGATCGTACCCTCTTAACTATTCCACACATTCATAATATTTTCTTTGCATATTATAACAGCTAGTTGAAATTCTGCAGCTGCGACTAGTTTCGCGTTCCCGGTTGTATCGGTGTTGTTCTCATTTGATATTCGTTTTTCTTACTTTTCACTGCAGTTATCTGTTCGACCATCACATCAACACCGCTAGGAACGGAAATTGAGGTTATGTAGCACCTCCTGGGCGTCACGTTGTGCTCATCTGGACTTTTAATGGGATGCTTTAGCACAGCATGCCACGCTTGATTCTTTGTTTTCCATTCCACTAACTCTTTCCAATCAAGCGTTCTTTTTGAAACCAAAGCATTTCTTGATTTTAATGTTCCTGCTTCCATGGGTGTGGAAAATGAATGCTTCAATTTCAACTTTTGATGACTTGCGGTTCACATCTCACCGATCATCACCCGGGAAACTTTCCTAGTTTATGAAACCCACCATAATCATAAAATAACAGAAATTATCCCACCGCAAAATATTCATAAATCAGGCTGCAAAAATCCTAGCAACAAGAGGGAGAGGGAAAAAAAACCGCTGTTACAAGATATGGCGTTCGCAGGCAGTCACATTTTACAACCATCCAAGCAACCCGACGGGCAACACTCCATAAACCGAAGCAGGTTGATAAAGTTTTCATCATTCTTTTTCCTCTTTATCGTAACGATTTTTTTTTTCGGACCGCGTCCGTCGTTCGCTTCCAGGGTAGGATCAGCCGGAAATTTCGACATTTTTTAAAACATTACCGCATACCGAGCGACCCGACTCTGTCACTTCCGACAGCTGGATGGTTGTTGGTCATTTATAACGACCTACTCTGGGGGGTTGGATCGAATGGATGCGTGAAGGATGTGATGCTTTCAAGCTCTCTGTATATGGACGCGAAAAAGGCGAATGAGCAGCTCATTGCAAAAAAAAAGGTACTCTCAATTTAATTCCCGGCTGGCGTCGGTGCTACTGTTGCTCTGGCTGCTGCTGATGCTGCTGTGAACCGTCATAAATTTCAACTCTGCGGTGTAATTTTTCCTTTTTTATGTATTTGCGAATAAATTTTTCTCAATAAGTGAGCCCAACAACATACCGACCGTGAGTAAGGTGTGCTACTGCAATGGTTGCTTCAATATGATAAAAAGCGTGATATATGATCGAATGATTCAATGTCATTTAAATGGTCGTTTGAATAAAATCATGGGCACATTAATAGTCTCCTTTATTTCAGACAACATCGTCTCGTGTTCACACCCTTCGAGACGCTTTCCGATCATGAGGTTGAATTTCGTAAGGCCTAAATTTTCCATGACTTGAGAAAACATAGTCTAGAAGTTTTAGGACGAAATTTAAGCTGATTTTTTTAAATATGGAGCAATAAATCTCAAATGTTGTAAGCTTAAAGTCGGTTCCAATTAGTATTTGGCCACTTGTTTTAAATTAATATAGCGTCTTTAGTTGTCGTATCAAGAAACTGTTGAAAGCGTTTTCATTTGAAAGGATTGTTTATTCAGTGGTGAACATTTCATCAGGATTCACACATACGATTAAAAGTGATCGAAGATCGTTTGAAAAAATTCTGCACACTCACGTTGAAAACCCAACGTGGTCAGAAGGAATTGTTCTCAAATTTCTAAAAATCTACTGTAAATACCGTGTAGCCAAAACAAAGGTAGAAGTGGAACATATGATAGGATATTCCGAGCAAAGATCATTAGGGCAGTCTAAACGAATTCTGGAATCCAACGATACAAGATAAACAGACTTTTGTACGCGATAAAGGTGGACACTATCTTTTTTGAACCCTTGTAACTTTAATCATAATAACGATTTTTCTAATCTCATTAGATATAAAAATAGTTACATATATTAACTAGTTATTGCATTAATTGTAGCTTCATGAAATACTTCATTTGATATTTTTTGATAAAATTAAAAAGTGGTGACCACTTTTTTCGAGTGCAGAAGTCTGTATATATGGCATCGTTGCTGGGGCGTGATTTGGCGAGAAGGTTTTCGGTCGTACTATGCCAGCAAACTTCTCAACAGGACGCTGAAACGAAACCTGGTTGTCAAAAACCGTGCAAGAAAGCAGTACGAGCTAGTACTGACCAAGTAAATAAAACGGATGTATTTTGATGGACAATGGAAATTAAATAAAACTGTACTTTGGACGACAAATTTCATGTCAAAAATTTTACCTTGCTAAACGATAGGTGAGATGTTCCAGATTAGTTCAAATGAAGACTGTACTCGAAAAAAAAATGCAGCTGTCAAAAATGATCACTAAATTTTCATTTTAAGTAGGACATTTTTGAAACTCTCAGGTAATAAATTAATAGGCTAAATGCCCGCACCTTGGACTTAACGCTACCCAACAAATACTGTGCAACACTTGCACCATCTTTTTTACACACATTCATACACTCTTTCTTCAAGTCCTTGTCGTTTTTGATACCTTCGCTGTTTTCCGGAGCTTGCCCTTCATAATCGCCCAGAATTTTTCTTTTGGGCGAAGTTCTGGCGATTTTGGCGGGTTTACCTTCTTCGGCACAAAACAACACCATTGGCTTCGTACCACTCCATCACCGGTTTCGCGTAACGGCACGATGCTAAACCCGGCCAAAAGAGAGTGTCACCTTCGTAGGACCAGAGGAAGGACAGCAGGTGCTTCTGAAGGTATTCTTGGCCGTTGATGGTGCTGGTCGTTATGTACGGTAAGTACTTCTTGGCAAACTTGTCAACCTTCTTCTCCCGGCACTCCTTCGGAATATCCAGGCGGGAATTGCCGACGAAAAACTCCAGTCCGGGGATCTGCTTGGCGTTCACTTTTATGTAGGTCTCGTCATCCGTTACGATGCATTACGGCTGCACCAACCACTCGTGTTACAGCTTCCTGGCGTGGGTTTTGGCCACCGTAATCTGTTTATCGGTTCGGTTAGGCGCCTTCCTTACCTTGAAGACATGAAGTCCGGAGGAAGAACTACTTTCAAACAATGGTGTATTTAGGACTGCAACTCGCCTATGCTGCTCGTGTCATCTTATGTTGTGTGCGAAAATGAAAAAAAAAAAGTAGAAGGGTCTGTGCCTAGGGGCACGCATGGAAGCTTGACGTAGGACCGTTAGTTGACGGAACAAATATGTTGATCATTTAGTTCTTAACTCTTTCCGTTTTTGAATTGATGGCCCTGAAAAGGGCCGGTTGTTTGTCAATTGGTGGCCACACCAGTCCAAGTCAATGCCGGATGACGGTGGCTTGGACGGCGGCCTAGTCATGCTGCCTATTGCGGGAAGCCTCCGGTCGATGTGGGTGAGAATGTTGTGTTCCTCGACAAACTTGAGCAAACGATTGAGAATAGGTTTCTCGAACAATTTGCTCAGCGCTGAAAGGAGGCTAATCGGCCTGTAGCTTGAAGCTAGCGTTGGGTCCTTCCCGGGTTTGCCGATAAATATGATTTTCGCTGTCTTCCAGATACCGTAAAACGGGGTAACATTGATAGTTTTTTAAAGTATATTTTAAATATTTTTTACAGCAATGAATGTTTTTCATATTTTATATTTTTAAAACAAGTACTGAGGATCCAAGAACTAATTCGTTAGTAATACGTTGAACGAAAATTAAAGCATTTGCACTATTTTTTTAGTTTTGTGACCGAACTTCAGTATTTTGATTTGGGGTTACTTTGATAATGCTCGATGAATGTAGAAACAAAATTAGTGAAACTCAAACAATTTAGTTCTTTAAGTATGAAACTTTGAATGATTATATAATCATAAAACTTCATAAACAATAATAATACAACATTGAATTTGTAATGGCTTTATCGGAAATACATTTCATAAGTGATGGTTTGAGTGCTTTTTTCAAAAAAACAAAATGGTTTTTTAATATTTTTGTAAAATATGTAACACATACTACATAAAAACTAGATACGATATCAACGAAAATACCTTAAGCTACAAAATGGAACCAATGTTTCTTATTTGAAAAAAGCACAGCTAGTAAATTTATTCTTTACATTATACTATCAAAGTTACCCGCATTATCAAAGATACCCCGTTTTACGGTACTTGGAACGTAGTGCAGTTCCAAACATCTGATGAAGACAGCATCCAGCAGAGAGTGAACCTTCATGCTGAGATTTTTCAACACTATGTTGAATATTCCGTCGAATCCGGGGCCTTCATATTTTAGGTGCATTTCAGCGCTAAGCAAATCTGTTCCACTGTGATTCTATCCTCCGGAGGGATAGCACAACGGGATGAATCAAGGTTGAGTACGCATTGCTCAACCTGAACTTCGAGCGGATTTTGGATGTTGAAGCCAAGCAAGTGCGATTTGGTAATGTGCTCACCAATCGCATTTGCTTTCTCCTGAGGGTTGATTATGAGCCGATCGTCATCATATTCATCTTTGAGTGGAGGAATGTGTTTTGGGGTGCGTCTTTAGGACCTTGGCAGCTTTCCAGAATGGTCTGGAGCGGTCATCCAGATTCTGAACGACCCACCCGAAACTTTCGTTTGAGAGTGAGACCATTCTGGAAGCAATCTCCTTGTTCAGATCGGTCATTTCACGTTTCCTCGCTAGATCTCCGGTTCTTTGGGAATCAATGGCAATAAACTTACCCCTCACAGGAACTCGTCGGGCGCACGCCTCGTCAGCCACGGTTATGGCTTGGTGGAGTCCCTCCAACGCTCGGTCGATGTCCTCCATGGTGTCAAACGGCGGGTTGTCGATGATGTGCCTGTCTACCACGCGTCCAAACTGGGCCCAGTTTACGCGATGGTAGTTCTTGAGCAGGCTTGGAGCAGGGTCCCCATTGTAGCCCAGTTCAGCCACCACCGGTTGGTGGTCGGAGCTGAGTTCGGTCAAGGCTACCGGCTTGGACAAGCCGGTATTTGTCAGGAACAGGTCAAGCTTCGATGGGTTGCCCGCCGGTGAGATAAATGTTGGCTCATCTGAAAACCAAACGGAGTAGAGCCCATACTGTGAGTGGTCGAACAGCAGACGACCGTTCCACTATGGGAAGGTCCCATATAAATAGGTGGCCAAAAATATGTCGGTCTTTAAAACAATTTTTTTGTTACACTTGATGTGTGCGATATCATTTTATATAGCCAAAAGTTGAAACGTTGAACTGATGATTATCAGGATGTACTCTCATATAAAAAATGAGCGCTAGAGTGCATAATTGACTTATTTGTAATCCATCCGGTGTTTGCTGAATGAAAACACAAAATTTTCAATTGGTGCGTTCTCGAAATAGAGCAAGTAAGTGCAGATGTAACCTTCGCTGAAAGTTAGCACTAGGATTGTACTTTATTCTCTTATGAACAGTATTCGAACCGAGGTGGACGTATCCAGTTGACGACTCCACCTCCACACCAAGGCCTCGCTGATAGAGGTGCGGATATGAGACAGACTGTGTTATTTTATCCCTTTCTTGACGACGACCGATCAAGCCGAATAATGTTGTGGTCAAGCAACCAGAAGCTGTCGCCGGACTTTAGATGGGTGTAGGTTAGAAGGTCCCCGTCGATGCTGTGCTGGCGGAGGAAGTCGGCAAGCTCAATCTGTTTAGCTCTTACAAAGCAAGCATTCCAGGCGATGACAGTCACCATACTGAATGATGAATGTACCGAGCACTTGGATCTGCTCCGCAATAAGGGCACTTACGAAGAGCACCGGTCATGTTGACGAAGATTTCCATCAGTTCATCCGCTGAATCGGGGTTGTTGTTTAGTGCTGGTGGTTGTCTCCAGAATCCAAGGGCGGCTAGAGATCTTTGCCCAGTAGAATCACCGGAAGCTTCTTGAGGGGGGCGGGTTGCAACTGCGAATTTGCTTGGCTTTGCTGGGGAGCATGAAGAGGCGGGAAATCCTCCATCTTGAATGCTGGGGTTTTGTCCTTCTTGCGTCCTGGTTGATTGTTGCTTGCCGCCTGCTTTCGGATACGTTTGAAGTCCTCGCGTTTGGAGCACTGTCTGTCGGAACCTTGATGTGCACCAACACAGTTGGCGCATTTTAACGCCACGGCTCCATCCGCAGGGCAGTCAGAAGTGGCGTGTGACCATGGACTCTCAATAAGGCCATTTCCGGCCAAGATTTGTAAAATCATGATGTTTGATATTTCGTACGATAGGTTTTGGTTCTTGTTGAAAATTGGCTACTTCCCCGAGGGGGCGCCGGAATATATCCTGGATGCCGTCGGTTTAGCTGCCATTGGTCTAATTACATCATTTGACAGGAATAAAAAACATGATGTTCATCGTGTTTATATTATTACAGAACCCTACGGCAACCGGAATAACTCCGGAACCATGTTTTGATTCAAATGTTTTCTGATGAATTCAAAAATTTCAATAGATTTCCGACAAAATGCAACTTGTTGTGAAGAAAAAGATTGAGAAATAATGTTTTTAAAGCTAATTGAATTTTGAAATCTATGCAAATTTAGACGTTAGGCACGCAAAGCTTAAAGACGTAGTCCTACGTCAAAAAGCGATGCAAAATTTATTGTTTTACAAAACATGCGTCTAAGGAAGCATAAAAAGTCTCTCCAAAATGATTTTCATGAAAACATTTAAATAAAATATTGGGAAAATTGATGCAATGTCGGCCTAAATGCCTCTAATTTGGGCCCATATATAAATTCAGCAATCGACTAAATGTTCAATAGCGACCAAAAATATCCAATAGTACCGTCCCAATGACACGTTCATCAAGATAAAATTGATAAATAGCAGATTTTTAGCGATGGGCCCAATCTTAGATCCATAGGCCAACATTAGAGCCATTTCCCTTAATAGTTAAAGGCTAGAGATGGAATTCCTAGAGCCTCCTAAACGACACATTTGCATAAAATGTGTTAGTACTTTTGTTTCAATATGGAGACACTTGGAGTCTGCGGTGAAGTTTTTGCGCTTAAAAACCCCTTCTTTTGGTGGTTGTCAATAATATGGTGGTGTTCAAGTTAGTTGATATTAAAATCCCAACTTTGATACCGTTTTGGTTTCCATACCCTAATTATCCATTTCGAGCAAGATAAATCAGGAAATAGCGAGAGCGAGTAAAAGGGTATTGGTGTAATAGTTACGAATTCGATTATACAATATTGTCTTTAATGTCCCAATGGCCAAATTAAATATTGTAACCCGCAACACATAACACAGAATACGGAACGAGAAGAAGTAAGGAAGAAGGTTGGCATTGGAAACAGGAGAAGGACGTGGACAAGGCGGTGGTGGAAAAGTGGGAGAGAGGTGGAAATGGGCTTAGGTCAAGGGGGAAGCTACTGGGTCAAACTGAATAGAAGGGTCTCTTTTACTTCAGCCATTGTGTGAGATACATCTGCCAAGTTTGATACGAGTCAAGTAAGGAAGTGAAAGGAGTTCCTAACAAGTACCGGCTAATACCGCCAAATACGGAGTCAGGTAGGTCCCAATTAATTAACCCAGTAGAGAAATTTTCAGCCCTAAGACCACCTCTCATATTCCGTTAAACCGTCAGCATCCGTTTATCAAGCGTCGATCGGCAAGCCACCGACACGACCGCTTCAAGTCATCTGCTGGTAAACTGCGAGACCATCGTCGATCAGCCGATCGAGCCCGGGTGCGACATCTGTTGTACCACACTGGGACAACCGTTGAGCATCGACATTCACCAGGAACCTACCGTTGTTTCACCGCCGAGAAACCCCACCCGGTGCAGAACCCCTTCACCGCTGGCCAGCACTGCACACACTCGACAGACACCGATACCGTGAGTAATATAATAAAATAAACTAGTCAAAAGTGAAGAATAGGTATTTTGTC